CCAGGGGCAGCCACCCAGGCTGGTGAGACATTGCCAAGGAGCACTTGGTGGTTCCCAAAGTCCAACTCCACAGATGCCCGTGACACACAGTGAGTTAATGCATTTTCCAAAGTGGAAAAAATGGGTTACTTAAAAATAGGTCCATAATCCAAACAAACAAGCATCCCGGTACTATTTCATGGAGGGGAAACAAGCAGGCAGGGACAGCCCGGGGACAGAACCACGTGCAGCTCCCAATGCCTTCCTCATGCTCCTTGGAAGGTTTTCCATCGATTGCAGAGCCCGGAGCTTCGGCCAGGACTGCCAGGAAAAGCTCCTGGGCACAGTCCTGCCACACTCCTTATCATTAATTGTATTATTAGGATTATTGCAGAGAGCTCAGAGCCCCTTGCAGGGCCTGAAGGGGCTCCAGGAGAGCTGGAGAGGGACTGGGGCCAAGGGCTGCAGGGCCAGGAGCCAGGGAATGGCTGCCAGTGGCAGAGGGCAGGGCTGGATGGGATCTGGGGCAGGAATTGTTCCCTGGGAGTGGCGAGGCCCTGGCACAGGCACAGCTTGAGGCAGGAGCTCCTCAAGGCTCCCATGTGCTGCAGCACTGAGAGAGCACTGGCTTTAATTAAAGAGTTCTTCCTCCCTGCCAGCACCAGCTCCTAAAACTGAACCACAGCTCTGGAGGTGCCAGAGAATTAATCAGGCACGGCTGCAGGGGCTGGGGAAACAAGGGTGAGGGAAAATTAAAGTGGTCCAGAGAGCCCAGCTTGGATCAGCCGTGGGAGCAGAGCAGACAACTCAGCATGACAGCGCTGCCTCCACAGAAAACAGCCCCAAAAAATCCCAGCAGCAAGGAGGGGAGCAGCAGGTCCCAGGGATGCACCTGGAACAGGGAGAAGACAGAAAAGAGGCTAAAACCCCCATTATTCACAGCATCCCACGCTGGTTTGGGCTTGGAGGCACCTTAAATCCCACCCCAGCCATGGCAGGGACACCTCCCACTGTCCCAGGAGCTCCCAATGTCCAGCCTGGCCTTGGGCACTGCCAGGGATCCAGGGGCAGCCCCAGCTGCTCTGGCAATTCCATCCCAGCCCCTGCCCACCCTCCTGGGGAAGGGTTTCTCCCCAGGAGCACTTGACACAGGGAGCAGTGATGGAACCTCCTTCTCCAGCTGGGCCAGGGGGATCCCCAGACCTTCACCCAAGAGCAGTGAAGCTCCCATCTCCTGTTTCCAGCACATTCCTGCCCCTCCAGTTCCCCACAGCTGGACCAGGCAGGAACAGGAGGCTCCCTGGTCTCAAAGGGCCTTTCCAGTGGGAATCCCAGAGCTGCCCAGGGAGAGCCCCAACCCCCCTGACTGCTCCACCTCTCAGGAGTTTATTTCTCCCTCTCTGGATTTAAAGCAAAGCTAACTAATGAAGGAAACAGCTTTCTTAACTCTAATAAGTTTGTGCAATCAGGGTTCTGGGAGCAGGATGCCAGGCTGGGCACGGTCCAGCACCGAAGGGTGTCCAGGCCTGGCACTGCCCCTGGGCTTGAAACCACCAGGGACAGGAGCCAGTGCCAGAACCTTTTCCACCAGCTCAGCCTCCAAGTGGGACAAACAGCAGGAGAGGGGTAACCTCCGGGAAAAATGCTGCTTTTCAGCCACCTGCCCACAGAAAGGGATTTTTTACTAACAAATGACCAAATCCCAGGATCCTGGAGCTGGAAAAGCCCTCGCAGCCCAGGGAGTCCCAGCTGTGCCCGATGCCCACCTTGTCCCCAGCCCAGAGCCCTGAGTGCCACGTCCAGCCCTTCCTTGGGCACCTCCAGGGATGGGCACTGCAAAGCTCCCTGGGCAGCCCCTAAACACCAGGATGGCATTTGGCTTTTAGCTGCCTTCCCTCCCCACACCCCAGGCAGAAGATGAACTGCACCTCCCTGGGGGACGCCTCCACTCCCCTGGGCTGTCCCCAGACACTCACCCATCCCTCCAGCCCCTGCCCAGAGGAGCAGAGAGCTCTCACAGGGAATTGTGATGTACAACACGCCCAGGCAGCCCACAAGCCAAACACCACCTGAGCAGGCCAGAGAAACACAAAGTGCTTTTCCTTCCCACTCCTCCTGGGATGAGGCTCCGCTCCAGGACCACAAAAGGATCCCAGACCCTGCAGCTGCACCACAAGGGATGTCAGCTCCTTCTTCACACATTTACTGCTCCATCCCCTCCTGAGAGCAAAGGATGGAAAAGGCTGAAGGATTGCTGCCTTGCACTTCCCATGGATGTGTATCCCTGCCCCACCGTGGGGAAGGAAGGCCAAGCCCCAGGGGCTGGTTTGGAGCAGCAGATGCAGCTCCCCCAGCCCAGCAGTGTCCCAGCAGCTCCCCCTGATCCCCCTGTGGGAAGGGACCACCCGAGGGGCACAGGAGACACGGAGACAGCTGCTTTCCAAGGCAGTAAATAAATCACTATAACAAGAAATTAAATTAAGATCCTCTCTCTGATCCAGCTGAGCATTACTCCAAGTTTCTGGGCCAAGCAGAGAAGGGAATGAGCTGGAGGGAGCCAGGAGCTCCCCAGCAGCCCCAGTGCTGCCCAGCCAGCCCTGCTCCTCCTCCTCCTCCACATGGGGCCAGTTTGCTGCCAAAACACAAATTTTCCACCTCACAGAATGGCAATTCCTCGAGATGAGTTTCATTTCTGAAGGAAGCCAAGGCTGTGCAATCCACTGGGGCTTCCAGCTGAGCTGGGGAAGAACATGGACTTTTTCCTGGCAGAGTTCTCCAGGAATTCTCACAACTGCTTTGTCTCCCTCACCCAACCCAAAGCTGCTACTCACAGGTGCAACTTCTACTCAGTGAACGTGCACCCCTCCAAGGAAATAATTTCACAGCAAAATCTCCTTAAAAAGGCATTTTATCCAAGCAAGGAGAGCACAGTAGGTCTGGAAGGATGGAGACCCAGCTGTTCCCAACTGCAGGATGAGCCACCACGTCCTGCTCAGATGCCAAAAGCTCTCAGTGCAGGTTTCAAGCCCAATGCCATCGCTTCCCAAGGCAGAGGTTTTGCAGCAAAGGATTCACTTCCAAGGAAGCCCTGGGCCTTGGGATGGCAGGGACAGACAGGGCTTGGGCACAGCCTCCTCACCCAGGAATTCTGTTCTCCCCCTCTGGAATCAGTGACAGGCTGCAGTCCCCCCTCCTCACCCCGACTGTGTCCCCAGCAGCTTCCCTGGGTTTTAGGGCAGCTCAGGGTGCTCCAGGCACACGGAGATGGGCACAGCCCTCCAGACACTCTCAGCATGCTTTTTGAACTTGTCTTGTAAACCGCTGGGATAACAGCAAAGATGACTCAAGAAATGCTGTGAGCAAGGAATGAAGACAGGGAAGCAGGAGACCGGGCAGAAGGAGACAGGAAGAGACAGGAGCTGCTGTGCAAAGAGGAAAAGCTGCCAGACCTGAGGCAGCCCTCGGCACACCCTGAGCCACGAGCTCCATATCACCCAAAATGCCTCAATCCCAACACACAATTCACAGCCCACCTCTGAAAAATCCTCAGTCCCAACACAATTCACAGCTCACCTCTGAAAAATCCTCAATCCCAACACACAATTCACAGCCCACCTCTGAAAAATCCTCAATCCCAACACACAATTCACAGCCCACCTCTGAAAAATCCTCAATCCCAACACAATTCACAGCCCACCTCTGAACTGCTGCAGGGAAGAGGGAAAAGCCACACCAGGATCCCTGATCTGCCTCAAGGATGCCAGGACAGGGACCCACAGAGGCCCCGGGCCCCTGTGGATGCCAGACCCCAGGAAGGAATTCCATACACAATGAAATAAGGCCCAGGGCAATGCAGACTTGCACCATTTCCACATGACTGCAGGAGATGGGGCAGCTCTGCACCTGCAGGTAAAAGCTGTCACCATTAAGGGAACCAGGGATGAACCCCAGTCATCCAAAGCCTGCCTCTCCACAGCCAGCTTTCCCTGGATCTCCTACAAACAAGAGCCCACCTCTGCTGGGCTGCACAGAGGGCAAACAGTTAAAATAAAAATAACCCTAAATCCCACAGACTGGTTCCAGGTGATGTGATTTAAGGAGGAAGAGCCAACTGAGCAAGATGAGTACTTTAAATGAGATGAAAGTTAACACTTTGACCCAATGGGTCACATTTTTGATGGTCCACATAAACTTTGTGTAAAATATTGGCCACAACACCAAAGGATGTTCTGATAAGGACCAGAAAGAAGACCAAAACCTGGCTGACTCGGGCAACAGCCAGATTACAGCAAATGAGCAGAAAGAGGGGGAAAAAAATCCCAGAAAGTCCAGTTTGTCCCCAGGAGCCTCGTTTGCCCCCTTTTAGGGGGTGTGAAAAGGTCCGGGGAGGGCTGCACCCTGACAAATTGGGGCTGAAAATAACCAGGGCGGGTGCAGACAATGCGGTGAGCATTTGGGCACACGATCCCAAATCCCGCTGGGCAAGGGCAAACTCCTGCCGGGGCTGGGCTCCAAACCTTGTGAAACGGCTCCTGGGCTGCGAGTGCAGCCAAACTTCAACCTGATCCCGGCAGGAAAAGATTACAGATCAAAGTTTAAGGCCTCAATTCGCCTCTGAGTGAGTCAAAGCCAGGAGAAAATCTGGTTTTCCCCGGGGTTCAGTCACCAACTCTGATTTTCCTGCATGGATAAACCCACTCCTTTCAAACTCTTGCTTAAAAATATATCCCAGGAATCGGGATCATTCACTAATCCTCTTCAAAAGCTGCTGATGCATCCCCTGAGTGTGCAGAGGAATCTCAGCAGCCCAAGAAGTGCTGCAGCTCAGGCTTCTCCTCTGCAAACGCTTCCCTGCATCGTCTGAAAAACTTCCCCGGTGCTGACATTTTATCACTAAAATCCTGCCATCCTAATTAAAGAATTAAAAAAAAAAAAAAACCAAAGGAAAGAAAAGCACCTTTGCACGTTAGAAAATGTCAAAACCGAGCACTTTCAGTTTCAGAACCGCGTCCAGCACTCACCTCTGCCTCAAAGCGAGCAGCCAGCACCTTCTGCTTCCAGGGCAAACACCAAAAAGCGTCTCCTGTGCCGGCTGGGGACATTCCCTGCCGTGAACCGGGAGCAGCAGCTCCAAGAGCTCAAAACCAAATGGCCGAGAGAGCTGAGAGGAGAGCCGGAGGCAGCAGAGGGCACGGAGGGACCGGCCCGGCTGCTCCGGCCGGGGACACGGAGCGGGGCCGGGAATCCCTCCCGAGCACATCCATCCCCGCTCGCCTGGGGCTCCGACAGCCCCTCGTGAATCCCTCGCGGCTTTGGGAAGGCAGCAGTACCCACAACACGGCCCACAGCGACCCGAAGGCAGCGGAAAGAGCCGCTCGGGAGGATCCCTGCGAGCCCCGGCGCTGGGGCCGCTCCGAGGGCAGAGGCAGCAGCTCAATCACCCGGGCTGCCACACTTCTGCAGGGCCTCCAAAAATAACTGCGCTGCAAATTCCTTGGGGGCACACAGCTTGCTCCAGAAGGACTGCAGAGATCCAGTTTCCTTAGTGGAGCGGACTGGATGCGAACTGGCCCGAGGGTTCAGGAGCACGGGAGGAGCGGCTGAGGAGCCCCCTGTCCCGGGGACACGGGGGGGGACAGAGCCCATCCCCGGCCAGGCTCCGTGCCCGGGGCTCACCCAGCGAGCTCCCCGGGCTGTGCTGAGCCACAGGGCCCGCTCCGTGCCCCAAGCCCAACGCTTCCCGGGACGCCTTTCCCGCAAACACCGAGCATCGCCGACCGGCTTTCCCTGCAGCCCCGAGCCTCCCTCGCTGCCGGGCACGGGCGGTGCCGGGACCCCGCTGGGGCGGCTCGGGGGTCCCGCTGGGGCTGAGCCCGGGGGTCCCGTCCCAGGAGCACAGCCGGATTTCTGCCGGCTCCGCTGACCTCGGGCACTGCCACAAGGACACTGCCACCGGGATCCCCCGGGGGCTCGGCCGTGCGGGTGGGGGCTGCGGGCGGGGGAGCAGCGCCGGGTGCCGGGGCAGCGCTGCCTGCGCTCCTCGGCGGGAGCCGCTCGTCCCTGGAACCAGGGGAAACAGCTCCGGGGGTCCCACGGCTGGGAACGTCCTCAAAAACACCCAAACACCGGCATTCTCGGCACCATCCCAACTCCCTGCCAGCCTCTCCTTACCACAGGGGAAACAGTTAAATTAACATGAATAATCGTAAATGCCGCGAACCGGTCCCGGTCGATGCGGTCTAATGAAGAGGAGCGCAGTATTTTAAATGAGCTGAAACGTAAAACTTTTGCCCCAAAGAGCCGGAGCCCGCTGCAATAACAAACGGGGGTTATTGCGAGGTCCCGAAGCGGGCCCGGCCCGGGGATCTCCGGGGATCTTGCCCGAAATCCGGAGGAACGGCCCCAGAGCGGAGCCGGGGGTGTCGGGCCTGCCCCGGGCAGCGGCCGAGCCCGGCGGGGCGGCCAGGGGGGCTCACCTGCGATGGCCGAGTCGTCCAGGTGGGAGCCGGGGGCCCGCTCGGCGCGGCCGGGATGCTGCAGGAGGAGGAGGAGAAGGAGGAGGAAGAGGCCGCACAGCGCCCGGCCCGGCCGCGGCTCCATTTCCGCGTCCCCGCCGCCGTCAGCTGCTCCTCGGCATCGGCACCGGCTGAGGGGCTGTGGGGTGTCCCGGTTATCCCGGCTATCCCGGTTATCCCGGTTATCCCGGCTATCCCGCCTATCCCGGCACCGCCGCGAGCTGCGGCCGCGCACCGGCTACCGGAACCCTCCGCCTGCCCCCCCGCCCCGCAGTGGTCTCTCCCAGGACAGGCTCCCCCCGCCGCAGTGGTCTCTCCCGGGACAACCCCAGTCCCCCCGCCCTCAGTGGTCTCTTCCCGGGATAACCCCACCGGCCTCTCGCCGCTCTACCGGGATAACCGTTCTTCCCGCCACCTCCGCTGGCGTCTTCCCGTCCCGCTCCGTCCCTCCGCCGCCTTCTCGCAGCGGTGCTCCCCGGAAAACCCCGCTCTGTTTGTGCCGGGACGGCCCCGCACACCCCCCTCCCCGCCGCCGCGGTGGTCTCGCCCGCCCCCCCGCGCGCCGCGCTACGCACCGGGCCCTGGCGCTGCCGCGCGCGCGCTGACAGCGGGCGGGGCCAAGCGCAACCGGGCCACGCCCACCGGGCGGGGCCAGCGCGGCTGGCACGTGCCCACGGCCCCGCCCCCGCCCGCGCGCGGCGCTGGCCCAGAGCGACCCCTGGCGGACACAGCGGGGAATGGCGGGGCCGGGACACCCCATAGCAAATCCCATAACACACCCTATACACCCCATAGCGCACCCCAAAGAGCACCCTACACACCCCGTAACACACCCCATAGCACACCCTATACACCCCATAGCACCCCATAACACACCCCATAGCGCACCCCGTAACACACCCTATAGCACACCCCGCACACCCCATGTCACACCCCATGTCCCACCCCCCAGGTCACAGCAGCCCTGCTCTCTGGGCACGGACATGCTGAGGTCCCAGCACGTGGTTCTTTGTTCGCAGTGGGGCTCAGGGAATTACACCCCACCTGCTCCCGGTGCCATCGCTGGAGCGGTGCCACCAGTGCCCGGAGCCAGCAGCCCACGGGGGACGGGAAACTCCCGTCCTGTCCCACTGCTCCCGTCCTGTCCCACTGCTCCCGTCCTGTCCCACTGCTCCTGTCCCGTCCCACTGCTCCTGTCCTGTCCCACTGCTCCTGTCCTGTCCCACTGCTCCTGTCCCACTGCTCCTGTCCCACTGCTCCTGTCCTGTCCCACTGCTCCTGTCCTGTCCCACTGCTCCTGTGCTGTCCCGCTCCGAGAAGTGACATCCCGGTCCCTGGAGCTCCTTCCAGCCCGGAGCCGCACTCCCCCACTCTGGGATGTGGGTCCCAGGCCGGCCCCTCGAGGGGACACGGGGCTGGCTCCTGGACAGTCTGCCTTGGGTGCCAGCTCTGCTCCCCGTGCTGGAGCTGGGGCGGGGGTCCCGCACCTGCAGACCCCGAGATGAGGATGGGAACAGACCACTCGCTCCCGGGAACTGCCTCCTCTGCATCCCCGGGTGACCCCCACAAACCTCTCCTGCCCCGGGGACCCTCAGGGCTGCGGGTGCTGCGGGGAGGACCCGGCCCTTGTGGGGATTCCCGGCAGCCGGGCTCCTCTGGCCCTGACCCAGCACAGCTCGGGGGGCGCTCCCACTGTACCCCGGGACCCTCTGCTCCCCCCGAGCTGCAGCAGCGTATCCCCAGTTCCCCAGGAGCAGCCGGTCCCACCGTGATGTCACCCCATCCCCGACGGGCAGGGGGTGTCACCTCCCCCGCCATCAGCCCCGAGTGGGGTGCGCTCCCCTCCCTCCCCACCCCCTGCACCCCTGGGCTGGCCGGGCCGCCCCGGTGTGGCCCTGTCCCCGACCCTGTCCCCAGCCCTGTCCCCGGCCCTGTCCCCATCCTTGTCCCCATCCCTGTCCCCGTCCCTGTCCCCAGCCCTGTCCCCGTCCCTGTCCCCATCCTTGTCCCCAGCCCTGTCCCCGGCCCTGTCCCCAGCCGAGGGGGCCGAGGGGGGTGAGAGCTGGGGGTCAGGGATGGGTGCCAGGGCTGGAGGGGCAGGACTGGGGTCAAGGGTGGCGGCTCGAGGGTGGGGGCTCGGGGGCGCAGAAGGAGGGTCTCTGCTCCCCGGGCGGCCCCGGGGGCTGCGGGTCCCTGCTCGGGGGTCGTGTCCCGAGCCCGCCGCAGGCTCGGTCCGCAGCCCCGGCGCGGTGCCCGCGGCTCGGGGCGGTGGCGGCGGGCGCGGGGGCCGCGCTGCCCGGCCCGGCACAGGGGAAGGAAGCGGCGGGCGCGGGGGGCCGGGCGCGGCGGGGGAAGTTTCTTCGCGGGACCGCCCGGGGCGGCGGCGGAGGCGGCCGCAGACTTCCTCCTCCTCCTCCTCCTCCTCTTCGTGCTGCTCTTCGTGCTGCTGCCGCTGCCGCCCCGGCCCCGCCGCGCCATGCCCCGGGGTGAGTGCGGGCCCGGGGCTCCGGGAAGGGCCGGGGGTCCCGCGGGCGGGGGCCGGGCCGGGGTCCGGGGGGGACCGGGAGGAGCCGCCTGTCGGGGCCAGGGCGGGGGCGGCGGCAGCGGGACCCGCCCGGAGAGGGACAACGGGGGATAACGGGACTGTCTGGGATAACGGAGCTCCGGGGAGAACGGGGCTGGGATAACGAGCGCCGGGGATAACGGGACCGCCGGGGATAACGGGACCGCCGGGGATAACGGGGGTCCAGGGAGAGCGGGACAGCCGGGGACAGCGGGGCACCGGGCTGCCGGAGGAGCGGAGTTTTGGTCGGGAGCGGGGCCGGCAGCAGCCGGGACAGAGCGGGGACAGAAACTGGCCCGGCCCGACCCCCTCGGCGGGACCCCCGGCCCGGCCCCGCAGAATCTGCAGCCGCGCCCCCGCCCCGCTCCCGGGCCCGGCGCTGCGGGGGCTGCGCTGACACCGGGGGGCGCTGCACGGCCCGCGGGACCCCCGGCCCCTGTCCCGACCCACTGACCCCTGACCCCCTGTACCGACCCACTGACCCCCTGACCCCCTGTCCCGACCCACTGACCCCTGACCCCCTG